TTTTCATATGAGGATTTTGTCTAACAATCCTCTCCTCCAACCAAAGGAGAAGAACAAAGCGGGAGATTTGCTGGGAGCGACAGAGAAGACATTAACAGACAAGAAACGTGAGAGGCGCAACAAAAAGAAGGTTAAGCGACTGAAGATCAAAGAGAAGGAAAAGAAACAGAAACTTAAAGAGGCCAATAAAACCGAGGAGAACAAAAAGCCATCGAAGGCTCAAGTGACAGAAACCCTCAAGAAAGTCACAAAAGGAGGCAAAGCGACGATACTCAAGGTGAGTGCCTGATCTTGCTTCACTCTGCTGCTCTCGGTAGGAAATTGTCATCAACCTGCTCAGAGTTCTGTCAGATCATCGTTAGAAATGTTTGGAAGTGCTTTAAAGATGCACACAGGAGAAAGTAATCATTATTCATATGATACGACTAAGTCTAAATATCACTAAACACCAGTGTGATGCTTTTTTTTTTTTTTTTTTTAAACAAAGTGTATACACAATGAAGTTGATAAAAAACAATTACTTTTTTTTAAGCATGAATAATAATAATTTCATTACACTCACTGGCTACTTTATTAGGTACAGATTTCTAGTACCTAGTCTTTGTTGGACAAATTCAACGAAGTGCTGGAGACACAACAAACAACAACAACAGATTTTGCTCCATGTTGACATGACAGCGTGACACATTTTCTGCAGATTTGTTGGTTGTCAACACAAAGTTCTTTATTTGCAGAACATTTCTACAAGAAAGATAAGTTAATTTATTTTTTGGACCATAAGGCGCATTAACCCTCTGGGGTCGCCGGACGCGCCGGCGCGTCAAAATCACATGACAACTTTAAGACGACAAGGCTACAAAATGCAGAACATCAGATTCTCCATTTCAACTTGGGTCGAAAGTGCGGACTTCAAACTATACACCAGTTTTTGAATTGTGTCGATGGGTCATGTAAAACCAGAGTTATGATAAAAAATACACGCAATGTTTTTTTCTGAACAAAACAGTGGTGTTTACAGCGGGAAGGACGGTAAAAACGTCGTTTTCTACAGACATCGCTAGCAAACACTCTCTGCTTGCGAGTGAAAAAAGAAAAAGAAAAAACACCCCTTCACTATTGGTGTTAGAGTTTACCATGTCAGCCAATCAAAAAAAATGATATGGCAACATGTGACATTTGGTTGTTTAGGGAGAAGGGGAAGTTTTTAGGAGTGACGTCCGCGACTGAAAGCGGGCAAGCGAAAGACAGAGAGAGAGTGAGTTTTCATATGTGAGACATTAGTGACGTTTGGCGTGTTTGGAGGCTGTAGTTAGTGTGTTGTGTAGTTATTGTCTTGTATTGTGTGTCAGTTAGCCTGCTGAATTTCACATTTTCTCCAAAAAAAAGCCGTCAAAGGCAGATTCCAGTGTAAACGCTGTTCCCACATGGAAAACTGGACTAATGCACCTCCTGCTGTCAGACCTGCAGGGTTTAGGCCTGTGGTGTTCTCCTCTGTCTTATACTGAACACAAACTACATTTTTTGGACTGGCACAAATAATTTGTGTACCTTCTTATTTGATGCAGCACAGCTGATTGTTCTGTAAATAGATTTAAATGGTTATATAAAAAACGCCTGAGGCCTTGGCTGCATTTTTAGGTAAATAGTACCATATAACTTTGTTGTTTGCAAAACTTGTGCATAG